CCTCACACTGCTATCTTCTAGTGTATGTGCTGTGTGAGAGTGTCATAGGTGAGGCCTGGGGAACCAGTGTTGGTGGATGAAGGATTCATGGAAGGGTAAGTTTGATTAGAGGTGGCTTTGGTTGCAGTGGTAATAGGAGGGAGACGTCGGCTGATAAATGGATAATGATGACCGCAAGTGGTGGTGTTTGCTGCTACTAAACGGCAACCTGTTGGAACGTCTGCACCACGAAGGGAGGTGTGTAGGTGCACCACTTGCGGGCCTTTCCATGGGTCTCTGAGGATATGAGATCTGTGGTCCTGTAATTTGGACCTAATAAGGTGTATGTGCTTTCCTTGTTGCTCCTGCACCTGCGCAGTTCATATCCGGCCTGATCGTGTGCTGCTTTTCTCCTTCTGTTCTGGGTTTATATGTTGTCGAAGCTTATTTGGTCATCTTGTTTTTCGAGTCAGGTTTCTGTCCCCGAGGGAGGTTGGTTTTGGATGATGCCTGTCGACAGTGTCGAGCAGGTGGTCTCTGAATGATATGAAGTTGACATTGAGAGTGATTGCTTAGGGCTATCTTTAAAGCACCAGTACATGGGCACCTGGGCCGCGGGCCTGACACCTAAAATTCTGGAAGCGCGAAATGAAAACGCAATCCCGATCTCAGTTTACCAACGGTGGGCCCAGCGTTTAACGTTTCGGCCTCGGTTTCTTTTGGCGACAAGGCTCGGACTGTAAGGCTGGGGTCCGTGTACTGGTGGTTTAAATCACCAGTACCCTTCCCAGCTTGAAAAACAAAGTCGGGGCTCTTTGACGGCCGCATTTTCTCGGGGTTCGGGTACCGGATCGATGGCTGGCAACACCAGACAAAAGCAGGCCTGTGTCGTTTCAATTTTTTTTGGGCACAGGGCGAATTTAGGCTAGTGCGAGGTTACTGTCAATGTCACAGGCATCATGCCAGGTTCCAGCGAATGCACAAGCACCAAAGCTAAGCTACCAGCCCCTGCGTAACATCCCATCCCCTGCTCTTCTGCCTCTCCTACCTCTACGGTGCTCTGTCTATCCGTTTCTTCCTCCACTCATCCCTCTCGCATGGCTGCCACAGTTTCCCGTAGTCATCTATTTGGGTCCGCTGTCCGTTGCTTTCTCGCTTGCTTGCTTTGATCGTCGGGTTTTCGTTTGCAGGGCTATTTGTCTTGTCCGTTCTATGAGTTGGGAGTATCACTCAGCTTTTGCTTTCTCCTCAGAAAGCAGTAAAGGCTCTGTTAGTTGGGGCCTCACGCAACTCACTAGTCGGTTTCCCGGAAACAGGGGTTGTCTCTGAAGGGTCTTCCATCTGCACAAAATTGCTGGGATGTGGTAGTCAGAGCATGATATATTTTGTAGGGACAGTAGGAACAGCTGTAGGTCGAAGATTTTTGCCGATGCTTGTTTAATTTTGTTTTGTTCCCTCCTTTTTCTTTTTCCTTTGGTTTTGTTTACTGTTTCGTGTCTTGGCTTTATTGTTAATGACGATAAGCCGACACACAAGTCTGGGCAGTGACAATATATTTCTTGTCCTGTTTCATGTTAGAACTTATCACAGTGTCATCTGCTGTAATAATCTGGTCTTTTCTTGTCATTAATGACTCGTTATATTTTTGTTTGACCCCACCACAACCATACTATGTGCGCTCGCTGCCGGAAAAGGAAAGGGAGATTAATATATGAGGGAGTGGCATGCATCTGCAGTGGCAGTGTTTGTCACAACTCGCGGATATGTGAGATGAGTGAGAACCAATGAACCAATCTTCGTTGGATTTGGGGTGATTCAGATTCAGGACCTTGTTAAGGTTCTTACAACTGCCCTCGACTGGAGGGACAGAGGATTACGTTCGGCCACGTGAAGCCGTAGTAGTTCAGTTTTCAAGGATAGGCAAGTAGTTTGTCTGAGGAAGGGCAATGCTGGCCGAATGATTTTTTGGGGGGCTGGCAGAAGTCGGTTGTGACGCACTTTCATTAAACCACCAGTACTTGGCCCAGCTATCGGCCGCGGGAAAAAGTAGAGTCGAAACATTTCTAGGCAGACGAATTTGGGCGCTCCTGTAGTGTCCCGTACATTTCCTAAAATTGTGGCTTGTGTACGAGCACTGCTTTTAAGGAGTACTGGTGCTTTAATAAGCATTATCGGAGACAAAATGATCTCTTCGTCTAACCAGAACCTTAGAAGCAACTCCCATAGGTTGCAATCTGCAGAGCCATGACAGCCAAAAAATTGTGCCGAACTGGGACTTCTTCCATAGTGGTGGAATGATAATGGTCTCTCTGGAGCTACAATGCTGTACAAGTTCCTCCGACCTATGAGGCACGTATTTCTCTTAATCTTTGGGCGAATGCAGTCAGAATCTGTGCAACCAATATATATATTCAGCCTCCTGATGAGTTGGTGAAACTCCGACGAAACAGTTTGTCACAGCCCCTCGTTTGTTGTCCTCTTCTCCCTCTCTGCCTACGGTTTTAACTGCCCGGTAAACCGTAGGCAGAGAGGGAGAAGAGGACAACAAACGAGGGGCTGTGACAAACTGTTTCGTCGGAGTTTCACCGACTCATCAGGAGGCTGAACCCTCAACAGTCTGCAGAATCCCCTCACTGATTACACTGTAAATGATAATCTACCTTAACCAAAATCAAAGTAGACTATCACTCACCCACACCAGATGGAAAACTCTACAGACTGTCGGTTCACACCCCATCACAAGCCAGCAAAACATCCACGAAACAAAGAAAGGTCTGTCACAGCCAAAAAATACACTCCAGACACGCCGCTGGCACTAGAGGCACAGCATGGCCGCCTAGTAACGGCCCCGACCACTGCCGCTCAACCTGACCGGAAAAAACCGTAGCAGGAAGCTAGCGAAGTCGTAGCATATATATATATATATATATATATAACAGTTTGTCACAGCCCCTCGTTTGTTGTCCTCTTCTCYCTCTCTGCCTACGGTTTACCGGGCAGTTCTATTTGACGATATATATATATATATATAACTCCGACGAAACAGTTTGTCACAGCCCCTCGTTTGTTGTCCTCTTCTCTCTCTCTGCCTACAGTTTACCGGGCAGTTCTGTTTGTGACGATATATATGCCAATTGATCAAATTCAAATTTGGGCAGTTGATAGTCTTTATTCTACGAATCCGAACGAAATCGGGAGTTTCATCTGAGGGGTTATATTCTTGTCCCATGTCCTTGTAGAAAGCAAGTTGCTACTGGCGTATTGGATTGGAGATCTCTACAGTCAACCCCAACGCTACTGGATCCAATTGTAGTACTGCCTCGTTTGTTCTGCGTGTGTCGTCGATCAATCCTTATCCTGAGAAGTACGCACTTTGAGGAAATGGACTCACACACAGCAGAGTTGGCAACCGGGATTTTTAGGAATACCTGTACCCAACCTAACCGCACCCTCTTTGAAAACCAGCCACCGATGCGCACTGTATACCTGGCTTACCATACTTTAACCCATCTCTACCTGCTCCGAAAGTAAAAGACGTGTACCCATACCTGCCCTACCTGAACCTCTTCAGACTGTAACTGCCCGTATCTGCCCATGGAATTTTTTTTTTTCAAAACCACCCATGGCCACCTGAACCCAAACTGTTTGTTAACCATCCATACCCTACGCAGCCCAGGTATTCTTTACCTGTACCCACCAGTACCCACCCACAATTGTATGCACCCAGCTGTAACCGGCTGCGCCCATCTCCTGAGTCCTGCCATGCCTGCTGCGGCTGCCGATCACACCTACAACGCCCTCCTGCTGGGTCACACATGCGAGGCCGGCCATGGAAGCTATGGAGGATGGACAATTATGGGCGGTGAGGAGGACGGCAGGTGGGAGTGTGAACGACGGGCGGAGACTCCGGGGAGTAGTGGGAAAGGGGAATGGAAAGGGGTGGTAGGCAATGGGCCTCGCTCCACTGCTTACAAAATGTTGAAAATGAGAATGAATCTTCCGCTGGAACATGGGAAGCTGCACCGTCTTTTTGTTTTATTCTTTGCATTTCGTGAGCAGTGGAGCGAGGCCCACTCGAAAGGGCCAACTCAAAGTCGGGAAACTTTTGGACTTTCAACAATGCGCGGTGCGGCGACGAGGGAAACAAAAAAATGGCTGTTTGGGACCTTCGAGGAGGCAGCGGGACAAAAAAATTGGGTCTAGAACTTGTGGCGACGAGGCAGTGGGACAAAAAAAATGGGTCTAGAACTTGTGGCGACGAGGCAGCGGGACAAAAAATTTGGGCCTAGAACTTGTGGCGGAAGAGGGGGGCAGGGGGAGGGGGGTGGCTGGGTTGGTGGGTTGGAATGGGTAGGTACCAGGTATTCCATAGTTACCCGATAGAAACCTCTACCCGCCCGTACCCATACCAGTTTTTTTTGTTGCCACCCGTCCCTGCACATACCCGTTCTATTTTTCACCCGTTCTATTTTTCATTTTGGCCGCTCATACCAGGTTCCCCCCCTCCCCGGGCTTTCATTTTGGCCGCTCATACCAGGTTCCCCCCCTCCCCGCCCCGGGCCCTACCTACCCCTGCCTGCCCATGATCTCCATAAGGGCATTGTCCCCGCCCTAATAACGGCCACTATGTTTTTTTGCCTGCCCATACCCAACTACCCCTTTGGAAGGGGTACCCAGCCCCACCCATAACCTGGCGGTTACAGTTGGGTACAGTCGGTTACGGGCAACGGTTACCCGTTTGCCCTCTCTGACGCACAGTGAATGCATCTTTCTGAAAGAGGAAACAGAGGCCACCTGCAGAGTCGTATACCCCTTGCAGATTCTATTTATTTTATTCTGTCAAACCCTGCGAGAAGAGGCCTAGTATGGTATGCCGTCTCCCTGTCACAGTTCTTTTTTTTTTGTGTGTGTGTGTGACACTGTGTGTGTTTTCCCTAAACTTTTTGCGTGAGTTCTTGATTGTACTCTCTGACCATAGGAATTTGTGGTCCTGTGCGCTGAATCAATTGGTCTTGCTGCAGGGCAATATGCATCAAGGATTCCGTTGAAGGAAGCTTTTCATTCGAGCTTGCTTTCTGAGGTATGTGGTTTGTTCCAGTCTGTAGCATAGTTCTTCATATATACTTTGAAATGTCAAAGCGCTGTCCTTTTTTGTTGGCTCGTGCCATGTCAAAAGGATGCAAAAGAGCAAACTGTGAACCGACCATGTGTGTGAGCGAGGGCGATTTTTTGCCGGCTTTCTTGTGAATGAAGGCAGATGGTTAGTGCCACATCAAAAGGACGCAAAAAGATCGAACTGCGAGTATACCATTTGTGTGAGTGAGGGCGTTGTCTTGAATGAAGGGATAAACCGTGTAGTTTAGTGGGAGGCCTGATTTGCAGAAATGGGGGGATGAACAGTGCTGGTCTCAGGCTGTCTGGTCTGGCTCTATCCGCCCCAGGGGGGGGGAGCGGGGTGGGACCAGCCGGTGAGAACTGGGCAGGGTCCTGGGCAGCCTGAGCAGTGAGCAAAATTTTTTTTTCTTCGAAGTTCTCATTTCAATATTTGCTACTACCACCAAGATCTGCACCTGCACCCGCTTCACCTACGCGGACACAAAATATTTAAAATTTTTCAAAAAGAAATATCTGGTAAAGACGACGTCTAAATTTGCAATGCGAAGAACTTTTGGTAGCAGGTCTCCTTGAAAATTGCTTGCTGATTTCAAGATAATACTAAAAAAAAACAAAAACAAGAGTTAAGAATATTAAGGTATACCCCTTTCAAATCCCTTCAATCTGTGTTTATACCTCTCCTTCCCCCCCTCCTCCTCCCTGCCTCCCGGGTGAAGTCCTAATAGTTTCTTTTTTGGTTTGGGTCCTCGACTCTTGTTGTGTCCACCCGGTTTACCTGCACAGGGTTCCCCCTACTCGCCCAGCACCGGGGATAAATGTTCTTTTTTTTTTAGCAGGTGAGCAGGTGTATGCATGTGTTGGTATGTTTGTGGGGATAAGTATGAAATATGCTATGTTGCATTCTTTTTAAAATTTTCTAATTTTCTCCAATCCTCTCTCTCCCCTTCTTTATGTGAAAACATTTCCCTCCCATCTCGTCTCTATCTATCAGACAAGAGATCATCTCTTTGCATGATCCGTCGCTAACTTTGTAATAAGTAGCTTTGTGTTCTTGCCCTTGCACATGTTGAAGAGAGTTATCGTGTGTCAAAATTTCCAACACGTTCTCTCCCTCGCTCATGTCGAAAGGGTTTGTGAGTGAATGTATTCAGGTAGTGATGCAAGTCTTGCTTTATATTAGTTCTGAAACAGTTCAAATGCTGATGATATGGATGGCAGAGAAACTCGTCAGATGCTTGGAGATCACCACCTACGCTGGGGGAGCCATTGACACCTGCAAGTGAGTCCTCTCGCTCATTGTGCTGCATGCCATCATTCGCCTTTTCCACCATACCTTGCTTTTTATTGCAAAAAAGTCTTCCGTACCCTCTCTCCTTGTCTACGCGAAAATCATCCCTCTTAATCCAGGCCTCGTGGACCACCGGCCGTTGTGAACCTCCAGGCCTCGTGGACCTCCTTTCCTATGACAACCTGTGTCCCTCTTGCCATATGCTAAACCCTATGCCAACCTCAAGTCTTCACCCCTGCTGTTCCAAACCTCCAACCCCTCTAGTGTTGTCTCGAGAGTCGAGACTAGCTCCCTGTTTGAGCAACCTCGCACGTTCCACGGCTTATGATTTGGTGGGGAATCTGTACGAGAATTTCGTCGAGAAACGGTTTCCGGGGAAGGAAAACCATTCAAGCAGTAAACGT